AAAAAAGTAGAATCCATATAGAACTTCAGCAAGCAAAATGATTGCAGTTGGACAATGGTTGCTGTATTGCTTAAAGTTGTCTTCAAATTAGTTGTTCAGATTACCAGATGTAAGCATACAAAATTGATAAAAAGAAAAAGTTTAAGGAATTAAAAAGGACAAGAAAAAAAATAAAGTATCAACTGCTCCCCTCGGTAGGCTAGCAGAGATCAGTTGCACATTATCCAAGACAGCCTGCATGTAAAGTAAAGGCTAGTGCTTTGAGGGAGATTAATGGCAATGTGCCTTTTATTCTAATACAAATTATTAAATTTAAATATGCACCATCTGGTTTGATGACTCCTGTGGATGTTCTTTTCAATCCAAGAGCTGTGATTTATTAATCATGGTCTTGGTCAAATTACTAATCTTATTAAGATGTAGTTTCCATGATTGTGAATGATTACACTAGAATCTAGATGTATAACAAGGACTAAGAATATGGACATGGTTCTTGGTGTATTATACTATGTTCATTTAATGTTCCTTATTTATACTAATAATTCTCAAACACATTCTTGTTCTGACCTTTCCATGTCTAATGAAGTCCTTCTTACTGTGAGGACATTGGAACCCTGAAGAGCCACTGCACCCTACTACCTGCCACCATACATTCCTTTGTGTCTGTCCTACTCTGGGAAAAGCCCTGGCTTCTCATTTCAGTTGAAATCTCTGCAAATATTTACCTCTATACCAGTTTCTTGCTCTTATATGAAAAGGCAGCAAAATCTTCACTTTAGGACTGGTAAACACTTTATTCAGTTTCCTTACTCATTTTTGAGATGAGGATGTGGGTTTAAAAGAAAGGATTTGACACATTTAATAGGGAATTAATGGGAACACATTAATAACAGAGGAAGGTACTTTTCCATCTATGATATCCCACACCTTTAGCACCAAAAAGAGCTTTGAGGTTTGACCTGGAGTCCTTTGTGAGCTGCAGACAGAGCCTTGATTTACACACATTTTCTGTCTGGAAGGAGAATTCCTGCTGCTAATGCTATGCAGTGGTATTGATACTTCAGTGACTCAGGCGTTGCAGTGCCGTCTTCCCCTTGCTGATTATTGTGCTCATTGCTGCTACATTGTGATTAAAGACAAGCTCCTTCAGAAGCAACTCCAAGAACCGTGTTATGTTTTATTTTCACATTGAAAACCAACCAGATTAGTATTGGCCTCAATAAAAGTATGTTTATCTAAAATTAAATGAAGGCTGGCAACAAGCTCCTTTTTTTTTCTAAATAGGAATTAAAGGGGAAAAAAGGAAGAAATTGATATATTTAAATACCTACTATGAGGGTCGGCCAGATAGCTCAGCGGAATAAAGGGTCGGCTTAGACAGAGCATAGTGGCCAGGCTCCATCCTTGGGTGCACTGAGACAGCAATTGAGACTGAGCATGGTGGCACATGCCTGTAACCCCAGCTCTTGGGAGGCTGTAAACTGGCAGATCACTAGGAGTCCAATCTAGTAGTGAGACCCTGAACACCCTGTAGACCTTTTCCTAAAATACAAAAACAAAAACAAACAAACAAAAAAACCTATTATGCTCCAAGTACAAAGATAGTGGGTTTTTTTATTTTTGTTTTTGTTTCTTTTTTTGGATTTAGTACAGGGTCTACAGGGTCTCTCTATGTAGGTCAGACTCCTAGTGATACTCCTGTTTTCATCTTCCCAAAAGCTGGGATTACAGAAAGATAGTGTCTTACTATACATAGACTCTATCATACTCAGTAACAAAAACATGAAAAACTACTATCTTCATTTCTCATTTGAAGAAGCTGAAACTGCTTTATTACAGTTAAATGTGTAGCTAACAAATGGTAGTAGCACATTCTACAGACAGCCTTTTATGGGTCCCAAGGTGTGGCCTTCACTGGCAATACTCCTTTTCTCAGTATCTGTCATTATATGACCTAGTGCTGTCAAACAACTAAACCTTCTCCTAGGAATGTTCAAAATACTTGGGATCACCTTGCATTTGGGCAGAACAGCTAGGTAGAGAAACTCACCATGCATGCACTCAACTCCTGTCATTGCTGTGGGGTAGGAAGCCTAATTTCAGTACCTTCTCAACTGAGGACCTTGCTCATGTAATCTGGACCTTTGGATCCACCATGTCCTAAGTCCATCTGATGTGGTTCTTAGATGGCTCATTTGCACAAATGCCCTCCTTTTCTGTACCTAGTGAACAATAGAGAGCCAATGAAAGATCTTTTTTTTTTTTTTTTTTTCTCATCAGATGAAAAGTCTGTGTGTTTACTATTTAGTGGTAGTGGTTTGGAAGCATCAGACCAGCTAATAGTGAAGAGCTGGGGTTAATTCCATTGGTTACCATGTAGGAGGACACACTGGCTTTCATTATGTTCATCCAGTGTTAGATCTGAAAGCTACAGTCCTCCTTGTTCTAGAATATTCTTTAATGTTTGATGGAAATTTCCTCCTACTGACCTCAGCCTTTTCTGCTTTCATGTACAAACTACTCAACAGAAAAACAGCCAAAATCCCTCTATGGCTAATGATGCTGTCATCTACAAAGCATGCTCCTGGGCAGGGGAAACCAAAACACCTGGGATTCAAAGCCTAACTAGGTTCTTTGTCCCCATGGCAATAAGAAGAGCCTCTGGTTACAGGTCTTCCTGAATCTTAAGAAACATTCTGACCTATTGTTGTCTCTTTCAAACTGCCAAGTCTGGACTATGAAATTGAATTTCTTTATAGTTGCCCAATGTTTCAGCTTATCTTTATCAAACTGTAATTCAGAATGATAAGAAATTGAAATGCTCACTTTCAAAAATAGAAACAAGGAGTTACCCAACTGTTGGCTGTGGCTTTTTCCAGCTTCTAAGCCTGTGCCTCATTTCTGAATTGAGAGGGAGGACAGAGTAAACTTGGCAGAGCAGCATTTTGACACTGATGATGCTGGTGGGCATTGTTGGGTGTGACTCTTTGTATGATTTGATTGGGAAGCAACATTTCTCTCTCTCTCTCTCTCTCTCTCTCTCTCTCTCTCTCTCTCTCTCTCTCTCTGTGCTCTAGTGATTGTGGCCCTATGAGGTCATAAGTTTATGGACCTATTATAATACTAACAAGATTAACAGTGCTTAATTTGCTTGCTATGATCTAGTAGGAGCCAATTGGGGCTGATCAAAAATGTACAAGATGTACATGATTAGGCAAATACCCATTCTGCATAATATGTACGACTGTGTATATATGTATGTAACTCTACACACGTGGGATTATTTTTTGTTTATACTTGTTACTTAAACTTTACAGTTATAATTTCCTTCCCATGGAAGAATTTTCAAACTCTCTGTAAAAGTATTCATCATTTATAAAAACTTAGAAACTGATGCTCTAGGTTACAGCAAAGAGATTTCTTTCTTCTATGAATTACAAACTCAAGTGTGAAGAGACTTGGAATTTTCCTTTCCACCTCCATATTAAAATCTCAGTTGCTAGATGCATGTTGCCAAGTTTTGTGTGGTAGGAAAAATGAGGAAAAGGAAAAAAAAACATTTATACATTCATAACTTGATATCCAGACCATTCCGAATGGAAGTTGGTTGAAGGTTTCTCAACCTGTGTTATTGTTAAATATAGGCTGTAGGCAATGGGACTTTCAAGCAATTTCTATTTCCTATCCTGAAGGAAATCTGAAGGGAGCCAAGCATCCCAGCTCCTTGGATTCAAAAATGGACTCTTCAGTATTTGTCCTGCCCTCCTGCTGTTCCTAACAATTATCAAAGGCAAATAAATGCTCAGATCTTGGCTTACAGTTTTCATTGTATGACAAGACTTACCTTACAGTTTTGTAGAAATGTGTAACTGGCTGTACAAGTTCACAGACACTAAATTACAAACAGTATTTTTAAAATTAGGTTAGATTAATAAGCACTTTATAGTGTTTTCTCTGCAAACTGGAAATGCTGGTAATTTTGCTCTGAGGTCTATGTTGCCGCGTGTATTATTTCATGATTATTTACAGTGCATTACCTGAACATTGCCTTTCCTCATAAATTTCTGTGAGAATCAAAAATACTTCTGCATCTCTAAGTATTTTAAAAATATCTTTGTATAAACTATGAAGATCATGCAAATATTAAGGACCTCCATCGCATTTGCAGTGATTTGGTGATTTTATACTGATCACAATGAAACCTCTGTCCCTGTTCTCCAGCTAAGGGAACCTCAGCCCTGTTTGTAGTCAGGCCACACTGCAGTAGGCAGGCAGCGAGTGGGTGAGTGAAACACCTCTGTGTTTACAGCTGCTCCTGAACTCTTGCATTAATATCGGAGCTCTGGTTCCCTGCAGCTTAGCAGCAGCCTTACATTTTTCATAGAAACACAAAACAAATTTATCTGTACATTCTGCAAATCTAGGTTGCATGCTTCTCTGAATCACCCCAAAACAATCTCCCTGCCACGTACACAGAAAAAATTATCTTCAAGATCAGTCCCTGGTATTAGAAAGGTTGGAGCTTGCTGCTCTCTATCCTATCCATTACTCTCTGTCATCTTTCATCAAGCTGCTGTTTACCTATACCTTATTTTCAGGAAAAAAATTTAATTTTTTGTTTCAGAGAACAAACACTAAAATAGATGAACTGATTCTAAGTCTTCCTGCTTTCAGTGAGTTCCCTTGAGCTACACCTTAATGAAAATCTCATTTATTTCTTTTCGTCATTTTCTCTCAACTTTTCTCTCATTTGAAGATATGGTCATTTTAGTTTGAATACCTTGGAATTGCTGACAACAGCGGTTTTCTTCTTTATCAGTCCTACTTCATTTAGCTCCAAACCACATCCAAACTGATGAAATGTCTCTGCAGAACTTCTCTATATACTGGGTATTTACCACTATCAACAGATTTTTAGGAAAGCATTTAATTGTAAAACAAATAATAGCACGTCACAGAAACAACAATGCAGACCCTTCTAGAGTGGTTGAGGATTCAGGTTCATTTATTATTATCTAGTAATCCTTAGTACCTGGGCTTTACTTTCCAAAGACAATGGATTACATTTCAGCCTTTTACATGCAACACCTGGCACTTAGTTTTGTGCAGAAACCCAATGATTTTTCGGAGTCATGGCAGGCATGTCTACATTTGCCTCTCTTGACAAAGCAAACAAAGGTGTCTTTCATGGAACTTTTCACTGTGGGGAAAAAACAAAACGATAATCACTAAGTTACTATATATGTCTTAAGACCAGAGTTTGGAATAAATCAGTTATTGGCATGAAAATAGATGCAGTATCTGTATGCTGGGGTAGAAATTTCAAAATTTGCTTGTTATTTTCCTCGAAATGAGAGTCTTGTAACATTTTTGCTTCATAGTCATTTTTTCTTCAATTTTTAACTGCACAGTCCTTGTTCAAGCTTAGCTTTCTTTGAGAATTTCCAACTAGATATTGTTAAATCTAGAATAGAAGGTATATTTTCTATCACTACCTACTTAGCTAGTTTGTTTTTTTAATAACAGCTTTATTGAGGTTTGTTGATATACAAAGAACTTCACATAATCAATATATGCATTTTGATGAATCTAGGCATATTCAAACACCCACAATATTATTAAGACAGTAATCCTATCTGATATCTCTCTAAGACTTTTCTTCTAATTTTAGAAAAAAAGTTCAACTATTTTTTTCTATTGGTTTTCAAATAGAAACATTGGTTAATATTGCTTAAATTACTATATCTTTTAAACATTTATTTATTTATTGTGTGTGTGTGTGTGTGTGTGTGGCCAGCTCAGCCCACCAGGGGGCTGGGCTGGCTGGCATGTGGTGCTGGGGGATCGAACCGTGGTCCCTGTGCATTGCCAAGCTTGTTCCATGTAGGTGCTTTAGACCACTGAGCCATCTCGCCAGCCCTTAAATTACTATATCATTTGAATAGCTCTAGACTTACATTTTTTGGCTCTGAGGCTCTGAGATAAATGGGGTTCTTCAAGGATAGACAAAGACCTCAGCACTAGAGGGGACCAAGGGTTTCCTAGTAGTAGAAAGCCTGTCAGGCATGACTCATCTTAGGCACACAGAGAAGAAGGGAGTGAAACCTGGCAATAGCTCATGCTTTCTTTGTTTAGTTTCCTCTTTTATAAAGTACTCATGCCTGAATTACAGCAGCGTTTGCCAATTGATGGGGTCATTTATCATTGTGCAAGACAATACGTCACATCTTCAAGAAATGTTCTCATTGCTAAAACAATCACTGAGGAAAGTATGCTCTTAAAATGTTAAAAATAATGATTAATTAACAGACATCAGAAGAGAAAGTATTTAAACAATATTTTCATTTTCCCTAGGATCTCAGCATAGAGGACCCAACTGAGATCACAAATACTGATAACTCAATATGTTCTTACCTTCTACTTTCAGTGAAATTATGCAAACATAAATCTCTTAGTAACTTTAGGAAGTTAAGCATTGTAAGAAAACAACTAAACTCAAGGAATTTTCACTATATATTTTAGGCCAAGTGATACTACTGTCTTACTGCATAAATTAATTATGCTTCCTTATTTGTATTATCTTGAGAGATATTATTTGTTGCCTTTGATGCCAGAGGGAAAAAGACATTATCTCACTAGCTTAAAAATGCATCTCAAATTATACCGTCCTCCACCAGGGGTGTGAAGCGTGTATGTTGACTTCATTGGAATTTACAAATAACTGAGGATGACAGCTGTCAAGCACCAGTATGAGAAAAAGAATAGCATTATTTAAGTGGGAATTCTAAATTAGCACTTTCCCACCAGTAACAAAAATAACAAATAGCATCTCTCTCTATAACAGATACTATCTGATATAAAAATTCATTTTATGCACTTGAAGGAATTGCAAATTCTTCAGCTTTTAAATGGAACTCTGTGCATGCATATGCAATGTCTCTGGGGTATTTGAAGATCGTAAAAATGTCATGAAGATTTTCACATATTTTTTCCAAATCAAATCACTTTGGGGACATGTGTAAATCATGCTAGCATAACTGTAAGTAATATTTTGTTGTACAACTATGGTTGTGCTCAATATGTGTTCTCTTTATTTTAAATTGCTTCTGTTTGGCTTTAGCACAAGCAAATTCTGATTTTAATTTTTCTAAATTAAATGTGTTCTAAAATTAATGTGATGTAATATAATAGCAATCCTCAATACTGGATTTTTATGTTTGACTTATATTTACATTTTGTTTCCCTACCTGGTCTCAAACTTCCAGGCTCAAGGAATTGTAGTTAAAATTATAGGTACTACATACCACAGTACCTAGCTTCAAACATTTAAATACTTTAGAAATTTAAATTTAGAAATTTAGTTTAATCTAACAGGTTTCCTGTTGGATTATTTGATTTGATTTGTCATATGAAGGAATGGAGTCAAAGTTTAAATCATAAATAGTTGGACTTCTAGGTCACTCCCAAGTCAAACGACACTCTGCTGCTTTTTGACTGATTCTTTTAAAGATGTGTGGAACTATTTGCTTGATTGTGTGTGAAGTGATTGGCTACATTACTTTTACATAAAGAAGAAAAAAGAAAGAAAGAAAGGAAAAGAAAAAAGAAAAAAAGTGGGAAACCTCCAGAAGACTCATTTCAGAGAATGTCTTCTTTAACACTTACAATAAGAGACAGCAGAGGAAGTCTCTCTACATATCTTATCTGAAGAATCTTGAGATATATTGAAACAGCTGTTTCCATGTTCTTATCAAGATATTTTTGGGGGCCTGCTCATTAGCTCAGTTGATTAAGCGCCTGCTTAAGCAAAACAGTCAGGCTCAGGATGCTGAGGTTCGATCCCCAGACCCTCATGTCTAACCAGACCTGCCCTCAAGGAATCCTGAGCCAGCCAAAAGAAGAGATATTTTCAACCAGCTGTCCATGCTAACACTAATAAGTATAGTGAACTGTAAACTTTGTCATCCTAACACTTCCTCTGCTGTCTCTTATTGTAACTGTTAAAGAAGACATTCTCTGAAATGAGTCTTCTAGAGGTTTCCCACTTTTTTTTCTTTTTTCTTTTCCTTTCTTTCTTTCTTTTTTCTTTTTTTTTTTTATTTTGTAGAACCTGGGATTGAACTTAGGCCCTTGAGCTTGCTAAGGAAGCACTTATTCTACTGAGCTATCTCTGCGACCCCTTCCCACTTTCAAGGACATTTCAGTACAATGTGAAAGTAATTATAATACTGCTTGAGAAGATCCCTAATGTAACCCTACACTATACATTAAATACTTGTGTATTTATGTGTCATTTGTCTCATGATAATAATGTGAAATAGACCTAAATTCTGTATTTAATTTACAAATGAGATAAAGTCAAATTCATATTTATTATCTGACTAATATTAATTATAAACTACTGGTTTATAAAAGCAGTTGAGGTTCTCATCTCCTAATTTATTGTTTCAGTCACTGGATTATAAGTACTGCTCTCTGTAATCCTATATTTATTACTAAAACCCTCTTTATCATTCTTGAAATATATAATGCCTTATTGTCTCTATACAACAATGGAGATATTAGAGTGCCAAAGTCTGGAAGAGTTTTAAGATGACAACACACACACACACACACACACACACACACACACACACACACGAGCACCTATGCACACACTCAAGCAGATAAAACTGTACATAATGCTGTATTTACAAAGTGCCAATTAGACCTGATGTGATTTTTCATTAAAATCTGTTTTGATCCTAAAAATGAATATTTTCAAAGTAAACCACACAAAATAATATAGTAAAATTTCTCATTCAATGCATGGTGAAGTGAGTTTCTTCACAGTGCCACTGCCATTAAGATCCAGGTTTGCATACACATCCTCTACACCCTGTACTTCCGGACAGCCAGCTCTTCATCATTTAAACAACTCCCTCAGAATCTCACCTTCCACCATGATGTGCCTCAGCAGGAGCCTTACTTTTTTAGGAGGATCAACAATTCCTTTATTTGTGATTCATTCCTGGAACCAAAATCGATCACTGCCCTGGTAATTCAGTCACTCTTTCATCTCCAGTAGACGTCTAACAAGACTCCTTTCTCTAGAAAGAAAGTCATCCTCTCAGTTAAAATTTCCATTTTACCTGGTGGCAAAGAGTCCAGAAAGAAAAATAAAATAAAGAGAAGGACAGGAACTTTCATGACGGAACACAGTCAGCCAGACTGGCAGTTCTGGAGCTTTCGTGTAAGAGAAAGAGAACATACTGGTTTTATGTCTCTCCCTGCAGTGATCTGAATGTTGCCATCCTGTTTACTGAAAATTCGCAGTGCTGTTTAGCAGTGCCTGGGGCAAAGGTGCAGAGCATTTCTTTTCTTTTATCTTGGGAACATAAAAGATACCCCAGAAGATTAGTGTCCTCTTATATAACTTGTCTAAGAAAGGCCAATGCCACTGCAGGAGTTTAATCAAGATAACTTAATTTTTCATTTCGCCATTCCTTTCTTTTTTTAAAGGGATATGCAAAATAAATTATTAGTTTATAAAAGCAATTGAGGCTCTTATCTCCTAACTTACTATTTAAGTCATTAGTGTTTCTCCATGTTTATTACTAAAATCCACTTTATCATTCTTGAAATAAATAATTGTCTCTTGTCTCTATACAACAATAGAGATACTAGGGATGATTAAGCCTGAATTTTACAATGATGACACCACACACACACACACACACACACACACACACACACACACACGATAGAAGTGTACATAATGCTATAATTATAAAGTGCCAAAGGATGGTGCTGTCAGTAAGTGCTAATTCATTTTAATAAGATAATTATTTGAATATTTTCTGTAAGGAGATATTTTAATTATGTAATGAGACGTTTAGCAAAAGATTGAGTGAACATTTTGCTTTGTTGTAGGTATTTGTTTTTAAGATAAACATTCAACAGGATTACTGCAAGTTGTAGTTACACTAGCACATTAAAGAGAAGTTAAAATAAAAGTAATGCCCAATGTATAGGCATTGATCTTGGTGGTCTGAGAGAGTAACAAAAGTTCTTTTAGCAAATTTAGGACATATTTCTAATTCTCAGCACCATAGTTGTTGCAAAGGCTGCCTCTGCTATTCCAAGAAATATGGAGCCAAATAAAAAATAAATTACCATGGAAATAATAAAAGTCTTTTTTACTATGTCCTGCTGGTGTAGGCTTCATTCATGGTCCATAGTATCTTGGATATTTGGGAAGAGAGCTTAAATTCTTTTCTATCTGCTATCATATTGCCAGAAAACATTTTGATCAATTCATCTACCAGGACTTCATGGCTGTTAATTTACAGGAAAAACGGAACATTTGCTGATCATTTATAATGGATTAGTCATAGTTCTGAATATTTATGCGTACACCATTCACTCCTCATCAAATCCTTTGAGATAGGTGTACTATGACTTCTTATTTGTAGATATGAAATGGGAAAGAAAGAGATATAAATTTATCTGCCCAATCTGATACATTTGGTAAATGGCAGTAAGGTGAATTGAATATAAAATTTAATACTATCGTTTTCTCTCAATCACCTTGTATAATTGTGTGATAGGAGGTATGATTTTCTTAAAATTTACCCAATAAAAAGATTTTATGACATCCTTATGAACATTTTATATGACGTTATCCTTATGGAATTATCCTAATTGAGAGATTGTGAGGCTAATATGGCTTTCAAAGTATTGCGTAGTTCTAAGCCTTTCTCAGTGTGTTGAACATGTTACTTACATGCATAAAGTATAGATTCCTAATCAGCGGAAACATTTAATTACCAGTCGGCCGCAACTACTAAACAAAGGCACAATCACAAAACGTCTCTATTCTTCAAGAAAGGAAACTTGTTTAAGAAGCTAAGAAAATGAGAGCAGTAACTAATTCCAGAATTGTAATATTGATGTCTGATAGTAAATATCGAATAGTATTGAGTATAACAAAAAGTAAGTAACTTAAAAACAGATCAGTAAACCATATGCTTTATTGGTTATACTAATGTACTATGAAAAATAACTATTAACAATAGTATATTCATTGAAAATGTTGGAAAATTGATTGTCAGACACTACATATATGTATAAGTTTATTTTTGTGTGTATAACATGTCAAATAAATTGAGAAAATATGGCATATTTCATATATCTAATAGTGTTGGGACTAATAATATAATCAGTGATAAAATGAATAAAATCAGTGTTTTTAAACACAGTAAATTCTCTTTAAATTACATAAGCTAATGCAAACAAAGACAGATGTAGAAAAATGTATAAATGTAATCTTATGAACACATTAAAATACATGAAAACATGTTTTGTTACAGTACAAGAAAGAGAAAACTATATGTGAATTGGTTCATGGAAACTCAATGTAGGGCAGAGAAGAAAGCTCAGAGGGCTAAGAGCCTGCCTGGCAAGCAGAAGGACCCAAGTTCGATCCCTGGTACCACATGCTGTGCTGGCCCCAAGCTGAGCCAGCCAGTGAACCGTGGCGTGGTGGCGCACAGCTGTAATCCCAGCGCTGGGAGGTTGAGACAGGAGGATCACTATGAGTCTGAGCTGCTTAGTGAGACCCTATACGAAATAAATAAATTAATTAACTTTCAAAAAAGAAACTCAATGCAACATAGTGGAAATCCAAAAACATAAATAAGCGTACCTAAAGGATTCATTAAAAATGAACTTAGGGTAGCTTGGTTTCATGAAAAACACTAAAGCTATGTAAGAAAATTGTGCATATGTGTGTGCAGAGTGTAAGAGAGAGAAGGAAAGTACCAGAATCTGTGGTATTTACAGAGGATTTTGCATGCAGTATAGCAGAGCAAACTGAAGCCTTTCATGAATGTCTACGAGTATCTCAGTGAACGCAACATGTCTGTGTATCACAGAACATTTAGCACTCTCTCTTCCACAGGTTTGAGTTTCCAGTGTTCATACCTTTGTATTTATCTTTTAGGTAGCTCAAAAGTAATGTAGAAAATAGCAATTCCATGAAAGATACTATTTGCTTGTTTGATTTCAGGTATGAAATGCCTCTTTGCATGGAGTAACTGTTCAGAATGTAAAGAGCGAATAAAGAAATCGTTGTTTGCCTTGAAGTCCCAGACACAGCAGTGAGGCAGAGGCAGAGCCAGTGAGTTTCTCATGTACTTCACTGGAGGAGAAGGCAGCATCACACTGATGTTTGGACAAGCAACAGTCCTCTTGCTCTGGCCCTTGCTGCAGGCCACTCCCTGTCCCCATCTCACAGTGCTCTCTCATGGCTTTTCAACCTTTTTCTCTGCTGCCTCGGGGCTGGCTGGCAGAGCACCCCGAGCAGGTGCCCCCAGCTCAGACTTGGCCTCTATCAGTGCCAGAGCTGTGTCTTTCATTTCCACAGTTTCCTCGTGCCTACTGGGAGTCACTCCCTCAAGGCCTACTGGGCACCACCTGCCTGTGCTTGGAAAGCAATACAATCAGACATAGAGAGTCCCAGAGGCAAGGCTCCTAGTTGGGCAAGAGGCCAGAGGGATCGATCACTCCTCACCGGCATAATACTTTTCATATTAGATAAGGAGGGACTAGGGGGCCAGAATGATACTGACATCTTTTTAAATTTTTTATTCACTTTAATGAGAAAAAAGATAAAAATAGCAATGAAACAGTTCTAAAACAGGTTAATAGGATATTTATAGTAATTAATACATTGCATATTGTTGTCTTCATAGTAGTTATTTAGAGGACAAGATGCAGACATAATATCTTGTCTAAACAATACTAGTACAAACTTTATTCTCAGTGAACTAAGAGAAAGTTCCTGTAATATCTATCCTAACTCTCTTGTGTATACATATAAATATATATTTTTTCCTTCTCTTTTTTTCCACAATAAAACTGTCATTAATTTACACTTTTGTGAAGTTAGTAATGCATGACCCTAGGTTGCCGAGCAGCTGACAGCTGACCTTAACCAGACAGGATGTTCATCTCAGGAGTGAGGGAGTGTGTTTGCTTTAGGCACTTGTCCAAGTCCCACCTACATATATTTGATTTAATTCATAGCTTCATGGCTCCCAACATATCCCCCTTTTTCATTTTGTTTTTTTCAGAGATGAGTGTTCCACTGCAGTTAGGAAAGCTGTATTTGGAGAAGTCTTTAAAGGATCTTTTCATACTTGAAACCATTCTAAAGATTGTAGGTACTTGAGTTCAGCAAAATAACCCCAAATAGTCCAAAGTCCATAATAGTAGTGAGTTACCAGCACAACTGCTAAATGTCCAAAGTTGTAGACTCGAGCTTTTTAGAGTTCAGCATATTAATATGGCTTTAGTTTTTATACCTCATGGTTACACATTTCTGCTGTATTGTTACGACCAAGTTAAATCAAGACCTATCTAACTAAAAACGTAACTTTTGTATCTGACAAGGTCAGTCAAATTCCCTCAAGACTTATGCTGTAACCACGTACAGCACCTTGTAGATCCTTTGTCAGTGTCAGCCATCTGGATAAATCACGGCCCTTGCTTGACCAATTTGCTTTCTGTGAAAGCCTGAGAGAATGTTTTCTCTCTAGATAACTCTCCGTAGGCACACTCTACATCATCAGTCATGTTCCTTTGTGGCCCCATAATCTCCTTGACCAAGAAATTGGGAGTACCACTAAGCTATACAATGTCACAGCATAGGTTCTCTTATGTCCTGATTTCTCACTGACCTTGCAGTGCTAGGGCCAAAATATTGGCAATTCTTGTAACTCCTCTGTGTCTCTAATTTCTTTCACAAATTTTAGTTGTTAAATATCCAGAAGAGAAGCTTAATGATATTATTACCCTGTAACAAAGGCAATTGAGCTTAACATCACTGTCTGTCTGAATATCAAACACCTTAGAAGTAAAATGGAACGGCTATTTTCCAGCAACCATGGATATTCTAAAATTTAAATCCCTATAGAAGGTGGAACAAACAATTACACATTTTTACACAGAAATTTAGAAATCTAACTATATACAACATTATAGTAAGACAATCCTATGATGTTCATTTTCTTTTCTTTTGTTTTCTTTTCTTACCTTTTTAAAAACATTTAATTTAAAGAGAGAATAGCAGTAATTGATATGACATTAGAAGGAGTATGCATTTAGAAGACAAAAGTGACAATTATTTCAAGCATGGTTTTAGTATTACACATTGCTATTCTCAGTCTACTCGCTTAGTTCACAGATACCAGCATATAGAGTTAGTCAGGTTGACAAT